CTCCTTTACATGCGAGATCTGTTTCATGGACAAGAGCTCCTAGAATGTGGCGGCACAAACGCGTATACTTGTACAAAACTAAAGTCGTACATGTACAATATACGCATCAGTTTCTAGCTCACTACTTGTCGTTCTTAGGGGGTGACCTTTATGGCGGTGTTCTTTATTAAAAAAAAATATTTTTTTTGGCCGGGTGTGGTGCTCAGCGCCTGTCATCCTAGCGCTCTGAGCTGGGCCTGAGGTTGCGAGCTTGCCCAAAGGATTACAGGCGTGAGCCACAGCGCCCGGCCGCAAACACCTCTTTTAAATTGGCTTTCACCACTTTTGGTCCTGTACCCCAACGTGGCACTGCCGGACCACAGGATAATTCCATCTGTAACTTTTGAGGAGCTGCCTGCTATTTCCTACAGCAGCTGCACCATCCTACAGTCCCAAGGCCTATTTTTTTTTTTTAAAGGAAAATACACGTTTTTGCGTTTCTGGAATTCCATGCTGTAGTTCCACCTGTTGAAACTGGGGCCCAGGGCCATCTTTCCTGCTGTAAGGAAAGCACAGGGGTGGGGATCGAACGGCGCCTCTTCCTTCTGTCCCTGCACCCTCCGCGTGGGGCCTCGGAACGGGCCCCCTCGCCCTTGCATGCAAGCCCATGCTTCCAGTCCGGCCCGGAAGCAGCTGCATTCGAGAGAGGGAATCGGGACTTGGGCTCCTCGGCCCTGGTTGGGCCCGTCCGTGAGCTGGTGCCTGGCTGTGTCCCCGCAGGTGGACCTGCACACAGGGCTGTCGGAGCTGGCGGTGACGCAGCGCAGGCTGGTGCACGGCTGGAATGAGTTTGTCGCCGACCACGCGGAACCTGTATGGAAGAAATACCTCGATCAGGTAGGACCACGGGTGCTGTGCTTTGCATCAGCAAGCGCAAGCCAGGGACGGTGGGGCAGCCGTGCGTCGTTGACATGCTGATCGGGGGTGTCCTTGGACAGCTCACTGCCCTTTCGGGCTGCTCTTAGCAGGCGGAGCGACCGTGAGTAGAAACTGACCACCCCGGCGGCCGCGATGGGGCATGGCAGCGGCCACATTCACAGAGGGCTCGCCAGGTGCCAGGCGCCGGGCTAAGTGAACAAATAAGCAAGCAAGCTTTCATCTGCCTGATCCTCCTGCTAATCCCGGTTTTGCAGATGAGGAGGGTGAAGTCCAGAGAGGTGGAAAGATTTCCCCAGGGTGTGTAGGGCTGCCAGGTTCAGTTAAAAACAAACAAACAAAAAAAAAACTCCACAAGATTCCCTTTTAAATTTGAATTTCAGATACATAAACAAGAGGTAATTTTAGTATATGTATGTAGCAAATATTGCAATGGACATCCTTATACTAATTTTTTAAAAAATTGTTTGTTTCTCTGAAGTTCAAATTTACCTGGGCATCCTACAGTGCACCTGCAACCTGAGCCCACAGCCACGTAGCAGTGAGACGCAGCGCTGACGGGCACATGCAGGGAGCTGGCTCCAGGCCCTGCCAGCCGCTGCCATCGGCGCTGGCGTGGTGCTGGGTGGATGGCACGCAGGCGACATGCCCAGAAGGCATTGGGAAGAGGAAAGAAAACAGTTGAAACAGACAGGGCTGCAAGTTCCAGTCTAGAAGTTGGCACCCCCGCCACCCTCCCAGGACTGGTTCAGAAAGGCCCAGAACTTTCCAGATACCTGAAAGCATTTAGGTTGCCTCAGTTGCCCCTGCCTGGCCCTTTGCACACCCAGGGCCCCCACCCCTCCCTGGCAGCCCCTCTCCAACTCTGGCGCCCGGGCTGCCCCGGCTTCCTCGGCCCTCCTGTCGGCTCTGCGTTTGAAGCTTCCTGGATTGGTCGATTCAGGGACCAATCACAGCCCTCCTTGCAGCACCTTTTCCTCCCTGTGCGGGGCTGAACGGTGTCCCCCCCCAAATGCATGTCCACCTGGAACCTCACAGTGTGACCTTACTTGAGAGTAAGGTCTTTGCAAATGAGATTGTTTAAGATGAGGTCTTGCTGGATTGCGGGGGGCCCTAAATCCCGTGCCCGGTGTCCTTAGAAGAAGCCCAGGCAGGTGCGTGTGTGCACAGACGCACACGTGCATACACACACGCACACGTGCATACACACGCACACGCATGTGCACACAGACGCACACACAAACATGCACAGACACGTGTGCGCACACATGTGCACAAACATGCACACACGCACACGTGCATACACACGCACACAAACATGCGCACACATGCACACGTGCATACACACACGCACACGTGCATACACACGCACATGCATGTGCACACACACGCACACACAAACATGCACATACGCGTGTGCGCACGCGTGTGCACACACATGCGCACAAACATGCACACACCCGCACACGTGCATACACATGCACACAAACACACACACGCATGTGCACACACATACACGTGCACACACATACAAACATGCACATACGTGTGTGTGCACACATGCACACGTGCGCGCACAGCAGTGCACGTGATGACGAGGCAGCCACCGGAGGGATGTGTCTACGAGCCAAGGAGCCCCAAGGACGCTGGCAACCTCCAGGAGCTGAGCGGCAGGGAAGGTTCTGGAGCTGGCGGAGCAAACACGTCCCTGCTGCGGCTCGCGGCCTGCAGCGCTGCGGGAGAACAAACCCGCTGTCTCTAGTCACTGAGTCGTTTTAGCAGCTACACGCCAGTGCGCGTCCCCACCCTTAGAGAACAGCTTCCTTTCCCCTGCGTGGGGATGCCGGGACGCCGTTAGCACTTTGTCATCGGGCCCGCCGTGACCTGCTTCCCCACGGGCCGGAGACAGCGCTGCACGCCTGGCGTGCTAGAACCCGGGTCTGAACAAGCCACCGTTGCTGTTGCACGGTGTGTCCCTTAAGCTCTTCCCTTCATGACCACCATGAATCATACGTTTGATCACATTTCCCTCTTTGCATTGGCTGCTGGGAAGCTCAGAGCCGAATGCACAGCCAGTGACTTGCTTGCTGATATTTTAACTCTCTTGCTGGTCTCAACCTTTGCGCTCTCTGGTCCTGTTTCTGTGTGTTTGCGTTTCCTTTCAACTCTCTGTAACATGGGCTACCACGCGGTGTCTCTGTGAAACCAAGGGGCAGAGACGTAGCAGGATAACTGCAGGACGCACCGGCCTGTGTCTCCTCTTCCAGTTTAAGAACCCGCTGATCCTGCTGCTGCTGGGCTCCGCCGTGGTCAGTGTCCTCACCAGGGAGTACGAGGACGCGGTCAGCATCGCCGTGGTGAGTGCCCGGCCCCCAGGCGGGCCGCGGGGGCCGGCTGAATCTCTGCTTGTTGTCATTGTGCGAGGAAAACAGTTTGCTGCAGAAAATAATAATAATAATAATAATAATAATAATAATAATAATAATAGAAAAGACGGCAGAAAGAAAGGGAAGCAAATCCACATCCTCCTTTCCCCTGGTGCTGTTTTGTGGCCGCTCGGTCCCTTCTAGTTCATTGCTGTTGGGAACAGCTTTGCAGTGACTTTCTTTCCTGCGAACCCTGGGGTGCAGCAGCCCGATGCCGGGCTCTGTGCATTACAGAAAGTCGTCACCCTTAATCTGTTACCCAGAGACAACCACTGACCACTGAAAAAAAATTTTTTGGCTGGGCGTGGTAGCTCATCCCAGCGCTTGGGGAGGCCGAGGAAGGAGGACTGCTTGAGGCCAGGAGTTTGAGACCAGCCTGAACAACATAGTGAGACCCTGTCTTTAAAAAAAAAAAAAAAAAAAAAAAAAAAAAAAATCTTTTTTAATTAGCCGGGTGCGGTGGTGCGCGCCTGTAGTCCCAGCGGCTTGGGAGGCTGAGCCAGGAGGATCGCCTGAGCCTAAGAGTCTGAGGCTGCAGTGAGCTGTGATCACCCACAGCACCCAGCCTGGGTGAAGAGCAAGACCCTGTCTCAAAAAAAAAAAAAATGTTTCTCTACATTTAGATGAAATGCATATAATAAAAAAAAAAATTCACCATTTTATTGATAAAGTGAGCAGTCCGGTGGCGTTTCATGCCTCCACGATACTGTGCGACTCCTGCCTCTGCCCAGCTCCGAGACCTCCTCCTCCTCTCAGAAGGGGAGCCGGGCCCCTAGGCAGCCACTTCCCGTTCCGCCTGTGCCCCGGCCTGTCCCCCGCGGGTGGCCCTGGCTGGCCTCGGCCCCTTCCCTCTGAGCGCGTTCCTGATTCCACACGCGAACGCCCCCAGTGCGCGCTCCCTAAAGTTCTCTGTGGCGCACGGCGCAGAAGGGACATCTGTCCCCATCCCCGCCGTGGCCGCGCCGGCCCGGCCCTCGTGCGCCCCGCGCTCACGCCCTGCCCCGTTCGCTCCGCAGGCCGTGCTCATCGTGGTCACCGTGGCCTTCATCCAGGTGGGTGCTCCCTGCGGTCCCGGGCGGGGCGGCCTGGGCGGGGAGACGGCGCCAGGGGGTCCCCACCTTCCAACGGCGCGCCCGCCCGGTGTGCTTCCCGCCAGGAGTACAGGTCGGAGAAGTCTCTGGAAGAGCTGACGAAGCTGGTGCCCCCGGAATGCAACTGGTAAGCGGGCGGCTCCCTGGGGCCTTTGGGTTCGCTGGAGAAGCCGGCCGCTTTGGCGACCGTCTAGCAAACTTTGCCCTGTCCTTTCCACGTCGCGCCTTATGGGAAGTTGCGACACCCGCTGTCCGCCCTGCCGACAGATTGCTGTGTGTCTTTGGGCGAGTCACACGACCTCTCTGGGCCTCAACTCTGCCATCCGCGTCCAGGTCAGGGCACCTAGCCTTGGGACCGCGGACGGCGAGGAAGGCTGTGAAATCGGAGGCAGACTGCCGGCATTTCAGGGACAGGGGTCGGAGGTTTCTTTGGATTCTCAAAGGGTGAAATCAGAGCGGGGCGGACCGGGCTCCCACGGCGGCAGGGCGGGCGCAGGGGCGGGCTGCGGGCGTTAGTTCCGTAGCTGTCAGGAGCTCCTCCCTGCGCAGTCCTCGCCCTGCTGCGTTTGTGTCGCACAGCTCTCACCGGACATGTTTGGAACGGAAAAGGAAAAGCCAGAAACGGCCACCAGTGCCCCGTGGCCGTTTCTGTGTCCTGCAGCACCGTGTGATAGAACTTGCCGGAAAGGTTCCACAATCTGCCCCGGCCAGTAAGGCATCACTGGTGCCATGTGGCTACCGAGGACTTTGGAGGTGGCCAGGGCAAGTGAGGAGCTGCGTTCTTAATTTAGCTGAGTGTTAATTTAAACGTGCACGCGGGCGCAGCGGCCCCGCGCTGGACAGCTCAGGGCTGGGGCGTCCGTAAGGGCTAAGTGAAAACTTCTTATAGGGCTGGTTGCCACACGTGTAGCAAGCTGGCAGGCACAGAACGGAAAATGACCGTTTCTAAATTTAGTTTTGAGTATTTCAGTAGCCCGTAAGTTTATTCTCCTTGTGAAAAATGGTATGATTTCTGGCCGGGCGAGGCAGCTCACGCCAATGACTCTAGCACTCTGGGAGGCCAAGGCGGGAGGATCACTTGAGGTCTGGAGTTCGAGACCAGCCTGAGCAAAAGCGAGACCCTGTCTCTATTAAAATAGAAAGAAATTAATTGGCCAATTAAAAATATATAGAAAAAATGAGCCGGGCATGGTGGCGCATGCCTATAGTTCCAGCTACTTGGGAGGCTGAGGCAGGAGGATCGCTTGAGCCCAGGAGTTGGAGGTTGCTGTGAGCTAGGCTGACGCCACGGCACTCTAGCCCGGGCAACAGAGCGAGACTCTGTCTCAAAAAAAAAAAAAGAAAGAAAAAAAAACAACAATGATCTGATCTTAAAGTTAAATATCAAGTCTTGGCCTTTCGGGTGAATGACGTGCCTTGTCGACTCCCGAGAACTCGCTCCTCGCAGACGCCGTCATTCACGCCGGCAGCGGAAGGGTTTCCCGGACGCCATGAAGCGCCCGGCCCCGAGTCCCGTTCTACGAGCTGGGGGGAGCCCTGCCGTGCAGAGCCCTGACACCTGACCCCCATCCTTGGTGCAGTCCCCAACCCCTGTTGAGCACCTCCTGCATGCCTGGGGTAGAGAGCTGAGGGCACGCAGGTGGCACGAGCGGGAAGGCCCCGCCAGCCACCGGGCAGCTCTCGGTCCTGCGGGGCGAGGGAGCCGATGAGCAAGCGAAGAACCGAGGGGCAGCGCTTTGGGAATCGCACAGGCACAGTAAAGCCGAAAGACCAGCCCCGGCCGCAAAGCCACACACCAGCCAAGGAGTCCCACAGAGATGTCACAGTGTCTGGCGGGGGTGAGGACGGCCCTAAACAGCTGGTGGTGAGGCTGCCTGGTCTGACATTTAAGGAGGAGGTGACATTTAAGTGGAGGCCTGAGGAACAGGAGCCAGCCCTGGGCAGGGCTGAGGGATCAGCAGGTGTGTCTCTACAGGTACTTCTGGCTGCAAGAAACAGAAAATTCAACCGCACAAACCACAGGATTTATATTGTGTCATAGCAAGGGATTTGGTGAGGAACAGTGTGTTAGTTCAAGATGACACCAGGGGCCTGGTCCTTTGACCGGCCTCTTTACTCTGCCCCCTTCAGCTCTCTGGCTTTGTCCTCTGGCTGGCTCCCCTCTTGGTCCCCAAATGGCTGCCACAGCTCCAGGCATCACAGCAAAACATGCAAGGCTCACAGAAGAGGTGTGAGTGTGTATGTGTGTGTGCATGCACAGAGGAAGGAAACCTGTCCCAGGAGCCCCCAGCGAACGTCCTCTTGCGTGTCATAGGCCAGTGCTACGTTACGTGCCCGTGCGTAAGGCAGTCGCAGGCCGGGGTCTTAGCCAGGCAGGACTCACTCCCTGGAGGAGGTGGCTGCGGGGAGAAGGGTGGGTACGTGCACAAGATCCCGTTGCATTCACAAGGAAGACGGGAACATTCAAAGGTCTGCAAAGACCCTGAGATCGGAAAGAGCTGGGTGTGTTCACAGTGGGGGGCGGGGGCAGCCCTGGTGGGGGGGGCCCTTGGACTTGGTTCCAAGGTCGTGGGAAGCCGCCCTGGGGTCAGGAGCGGGAGGGAGCTGTGATCGGATCTGGGGCGCTGGGAGCAGGGTGGGCTGGGGGCCAGAGCGGGCCGGGCAGGGCGGGCACGGGGGAGTCGGGCCCCTGCAGGGAAGCACACAGGCGAGGTGCAGGCGAGGGCAGGCGGGCGCGGCCCTGGGACGGGAGGGGACCCCTGGGCACGTGAGGCGGCTCCCTGCCGCTGCCCCGAGGCCCGCGCCGGCCTCCCGAGGCGCCCCGCAGGCGGAGCGTGTTCCCCGAGAGGCTTCAGAGCCGCCCCAGACGCGGAAGCTCCGGGCGCGGCGGCCTGTGCCCAGGCGGGTGAGCGCGAGGCCCACGTGCCCCCGCGGCGCGCTTGCCCCAGGGCCTTTTAGGATGCGCGAACGCGGAAGATAATCACACGGCGAAGGCTGGGGGTCCGTTTATGATGGGAAGAGGAAGCGCGTTCTTACTCTCTCCGCTCGCGTTTGTCAAAGTGCGTAAGAATGTTAAATCCAGACGCTGCCCTCACGGCAGGAAGAAAAAAGTAAAGAAAAACAGAGTGCGTGGGAATGGAGCGTCAGTGTGCCCTTTGCTCTTTACCACACGCGCAGCCTCAGGGAGGGCAAGCTGCAGCACGTGCTGGCGCGGGAGCTGGTGCCCGGAGACGTCGTGGCCCTCGCCATCGGAGACCGGATCCCCGCGGACATCCGGCTCACGGAGGTGAGTGGTCCCGGGGCGGAGGGGGGGGCACTTGTCATGTCTGCTCATCCTCTCTCCCCGCCCCTTTCCTTCCAACATGCCGTGTGCACACACACACACACATATGCACGTCTGTACAAATACACACATGCACGTGTGCACAAATACACACATGCCGAGTGCACAAACACACACATATGCACGTGTGTACAAATACACACATGCCATGTGCACAAACACACACGTGCACGTGTGCAAATACACACATGTGCACAAACATGCACGTGTGCACAAATACATGCCGTGTGCACAAATACATTCATGTGTGCATAAACACACACATGCACAAATGCACAGGCACGCACATGTGCACAAATACATGCATGTGTGCATAAACACGTGTGCACAAATACATGCACATGTGCATAAACACACCTGCACGTGTGCACAAATACATGCACGTGTGTACAAATATACACATGCCGTGTGCACAAATACACACATGCACGTGTGCACACAAACCAGTCGGGATTTAGCAAACAAGCTCATTCTAAGCATAAAGCCCCTCAAACCACATCTCATAAATTATTTATTCTCACTTTCAGGACAAGCTGCACACATTTTGGTGACGGGATTTGCCAGTTCAGAGCAGGCTATGGCAGCACATTAAACCAAGGAGGGGCTGGGGGCTGGGGGCAGAGTTGCTTCTAGAAACAGCACGGATGTGGGGAAGGAGCGATGTTAGACTGTCTTCAGACAAAGAGGGAAACAGAGCCCGCGGGAACCGCAGGGCAGACAAGGTTTGAGGGGTCGGGGGCGGGGCAGGCTCCCCCTCCGGCCAGTGTGGGGCCGGAACAACGCCCCAGGCGCTCTGGGTTGGGTGTCCTGGCTGCTCGAAAGGTTAAATCATGTCCCGTGTGATCTTTGGCTGGGAGCAATCTATTTTCTTCCAAGAATGTGTGCAAGGATGGTTCAAAGATGTTGGTGATAAAGGATTAGGCAGGGATCCTGTGCTGGGATTATTTCCCGGGGCGTTCTTAGGAGCCTCGGGATCAGGACGACCTGCTGTCATCATAAAAGGGTGGCATCTCTGGAGGGGGGAGGGGCAGAGAGGGCAGGGCCAGCCCTTGGGACCCGAGTTTACAAGGGTCTCAGGCAGTCTGGGCGGTGGGGCAGGGCCGGAGGGACGGTCTTCTGTGTGGAGGCTCGGGCTCGCGGGCTCGCAGACCCCAGGCAGGGCCGGGCTGGGGAGGGGGGCGTCCAGGGTGCCGCGTTTAAGGACGGCGCAGGCTCAGGCTGGTCCCTGTGCAGCTTCTCCCTGTGTTCAGCATCTGACTCCAGGTCCGGGGCTGGTGGACGTGTGGCACCTGCCAGGGAGGCTGGGAAAGCCAGTGTGACCTCGTCACCACTCTGTGGAGAGCTGGGCTCCGCCTGGTGACGTGGGGAGTTCTCCAGGCACGGGGCGCGGGTCCCCATGCTGGGCAGCCAGTAAGAACCACACGCGTGTCAACTCCACGTGCTGCCATAGAGGCAAAGGGAGGCGGTGCAGAGAAGCAGGGTCATGCTGGACTTTGAGCCCCGGGTCCATAATTCCAAGCTGTGTGATCTTGAGCAAGTTACCGAACCTCTCTGTGCCTCAGCTTTCTCATCTGTAAAACGGGGGATGCTGATGCCCACAGCGTGGTTGTAAGGAGTAAGCGACTTCATAGGTTCAAAGTGCTCAGAGCAGCGCCCGGCACGGGGAGTGGTGGCCGGTGGCTGGCTGCCATCGTTGCAGCCCATGTTGGGGGTCGGAGCTCCCTGGGTGTCAGCACCCGCCCTCCCGGCCCCGCAGCCCCTAGTGTGTGACCTGCACAAGGGGCTCACCTCTCCGAGTCTCCACAAGGGGCTGACGTGGGCCTCTACCCCACAGGGTTGTTGCAAAGCCGGCACAAGCCACGACCTGGGACACACACACGTCCCTGTCGTGGAGTAGGCAGCCCCGGACACCAGCGACGGGCTTTATTCCCCATTCAGGATCTACGCGACAGCACCTCGAAACAACGTCTCCACCCCGAATAACTCCCTTGCTGCTTCGCTGGCTGTGTCCCCGCCCTGCTTCTGCTGGGTTACACGGCACGCCGTGTGTGACACCACTCGGGTTTTTTCCCAGGCCACCGGCCATGAAGCCCGCGGGTTTCGCACCCCCGCCGGGCAGTCGCTGGCCTTGTCGCTTATGCGCCGCGGGAGCCCCGTGCCGGTGCTGGGCGCTGAGGTCTAGAAACGCTCTGTGCATGTTTGAAAGCCACTCAGGTCCCCGAAGCAGCAGGTTCGAGAAAGCTCTTAAGTTAAGTAGCCCCGTCATGGCAGCCCTTTCTGCAGGGTGTGCGTGAGGGCCCCAGAGACTGTTTTCTCTTTGCCGGAACTAAACAAAGACAAGAGGTCGCGGGCCCTTCTTCTCGTCCCCTACCGTCTCTGAAATGGAAAGGGGATTGGATCGGAGGGGACAAGGCCCCAAGCAGTGCTGTGATCTCGGCGGGCTGTGAGCCAGTGTGTGCCGGGACACAGGGGCGTCTGTCTCCGAGCAGGGGGCAGCCGCGACCGCGCGCACCCCCGGGCTGGGCCTGCCCCTCCGGTGGCCGGGTTTTGTGCGGGTGCCGTGGCCCCCGCCTCTGTTTTTGGCCCACGCGTATTCTTCCCTGACCCCTCCTCCCCTCCCTCACCCCAGATGGTGCTGTCAACAGAAAAAAGCCAAACTCCGTAAAGATAATTTTAAAGAGATTTATTCTGAGCCAAACTTGAGGACCCTGACCCGCTGTGGCTGTCGCAGTTGAGTTTTGTACATTTGAGGGAGGCAGGGGCTACAGGTCAAGTCATGCGCCAGCACCTGGGAGGCGTACGTCGGCTTGGCCCGAAAAGGTGGGACATCTCGAAGGAGGGTGGCTCGCAGGTTGTAGGTGGGTTTAAAGATTCCTTGGACTGTAATTGGTTAAAGACTCGAAGCTTTGTCTTGGAATGTCGCAACATGAGGCGCTGTTATCAGAGATAAGCCACTGCATATGGATTTGTGGTGTAAACTGAGGACCTGCAGGTGTGTCTTGCATACCCTTGGGCCTGTTATTGGGTTACAAAGGATGTCCCCAAGAAGGGAGGGGGCGTGATGAGGCCTGTCCGACCTCCCTCCTCCTGGCAGGCAATTTAGTTTTAGGATATTCCTTTGGCCACGAGGGAAGGGGGTCCATTCACTCAGCCAGTCGCGGGGGTGGGGGGGGGTGGATGAGCCTTAAAATTTTTAGTTTAGGTGCCCTGGGAGGTCACCAGGGGCTCCCCCACCCGCCAGCCGCCCAGAACCGGCTTTGCTCCTCCTTGGTCCGGAGCCCCCGCCGACCTCGTGCCTCCCTGTCTCTCCTGTGTGGGGACAGCTGGCGTGTTCCCACGCGCCGCACGTCGGGCCTGTGCCGGCCGCGCCGTAGAGATGGTCTCGTGTCATCTCCCCACAACCTCGAGGGGCAGCAGTGTCATTTCCCATGTTTCACAGCAAGGACGCGGCAGCCCGCAGAGGTCCCCGTGGTACGCGGCGGGGGGCCGGGACCTGGGCCGCGTGGCTCAGCGTGCTCTTTCCCTGTGACGGGCGGTGACGGTGACTCTTTCTGGCCGTCTGTCCCGCCGGGTGTCCTCAGTGGACCGGTTCCTGTGGCACAGTGGCACTTAGTGGCTCAAGACAACACAGATGGGCTGGGTGTGGTGGCTCACGCCTGTAATCCTGGCACTCTGGGAGGCCGAGGCGGGAGGATCGCTCGAGGTCAGGAGTTCGAAACCAGCCTGAGTGAGACCCCATCTCTACTGTAAATAGAGGAAAAAAAAAAGAAATCAGGAAGCGGGGCCAGGGCTGCGGCCCCTCCAGGGCTCTGGGAGAGACATTGCCTTCCTTGGTGGCTCTGGGCTGCAGCGTCACTCGGGCCTCTGCGTCTGTCACCACGTCTCGCCGACTGCCAGGTGCACCCGCCCCCCCGCAGCCCCGTCACTCATTCATTCAGCTGATGTTTCCTGAGCACCTACTACGTGCCGGCACTGTGCTGGGTGCTGAGGGTGCCGTGCAGAACGCAGAGCTGGTCCCCGTGCTCGTGAGTTCACAGCCCAGAGCGACAGACCACCCTAAACGTACTCACGCCCCGGCGGCTGCTGGGAGTGCCAGGAGGGGACGGCAGCGGGAATCCTGGACTTCCCAGATGAGAGAGACTTGCCTGGCCTGCTGCAGTCAGGGAGGGCTTCCTGGAGACAGCGGCTTTTGAGCTGACCTGGAAGGAGGAATGGACACAAATCAGTTGTTTAAGTAAAGTAAAGGAGGCCCAAGCAACTTGTCCCCTCCTGACCTGGAAGCCCGACAAGTTGCAGCTACCATGGGGGAGGCCATTTCTGCCACCTACAACCCTGTCCCCACTGTGTGTGACTTAGTCCTCCTCCCCCCTGAGGTCCCAGCTCATGTCCCCTCCTGCCTGTCCCTCTCAGTCCCGGCTGTGTCCCCAGTGCCCACAGTAGGAGACGGATGGACAGACGGACGGATGGCCCCGTGAGTTCCAATCTGCTCACCCGGGTGCCCCTTGCCCGGCTCCACCCCCTCCTCGCACGGCCTCTGTCTCCTCTCGCTCCCTGTCCTCATTTTTAAAAAAAATAGACTTTCTCTTTGGGCAAAGTGTTAGATTTACAGAAACATCACGAAGCCAGCGTAGAAGGTTCCCTTCCCCCCCCACGGCCACCAGGCTGCTGACACCTCACCTGGCTCCGGGTGAGTAAAGCGCGTACTTTCTTTCAGATTCCCGCAGTTTCCCCTGATGTCCTTTTCCTGCTCCAGGGTCCCACGTGACGCTCAGTCCTCAAGTCTCTTTAGGTTCCTCCAGGCTGCGACAGTGCCTGACCTTTCCTTGCTTTTGACAGCCTTGACCTTTTGGAGGAAGACTGGGCGGGGATTTTGTGGCCCGTTCCCCAAGCTGCCCTCGGAGGATTTCCCGGGAACGTTCCGTGACTTCTCCCTGAGCCCCGCCGGGCAGAGCGTGAGGGGCACGTGGGCCGCAAGGCGTGTGCGGGGGGCGGTGGCCCGCCCGGCACCACGGAAAGCAGGAGGGGCATTCCCCAGGCACGTGGTGGCCCCTGTCGTCCTTGGGATGTCATGGCAGTGTGCGTGTGTTTTTAAAATATTGTCGTTGCATTTACAAAGTGTTAAGTCAGAGAGAACTCACAGGCCCCTGCTGGGTCTGCCTGCGGTTCCCTGGTGGATTTGCGGGCGGTGGCTTCGCCCCTAAGCTGGTGCTACGTGCGTAGACTATGAGGTCCCTAGGGACAGAGCCCACCCTAAGCCCCTCGTGTGTCCTCAGTGGTACCTGGTGCAACTCTGGCCGTGGGAGCTTCACCCGGTGAGCCGTGTGTCCCCGGTCTGTGACCAAGCAGCAGCTTCGCGAGAGGGTTAAGAGGAGGCAGTTTCTGGAACCAGAGCCTTAGTTCCAGTCTCTCTTCTGCCGCTAACCAGCTGTGGAAACTTGAGCAAGTTATTTAATCTCTCTGTTAATGCCTCAGTTTCCCCATGTGTCAAAGGGGGAAATCAACGGCGTCCTCCATGGAGGGGAAGAGGACCAAGAGCCTTGGGAAGAGCCCAGCCCGGGCCGGGCCCGTGGCAGGTGTTCTGCAGGTGCCGGCCCCTCCCGTCCTTTTCCTGGAGGTGGGGTAGGGGGTGGGTGTCTCTGGTGTTAGCATGACCTTAGCTTGTCACTGAGTAACCTAGGTTATTGCATGGGATCATACAGGATTCTCCAAGGTGGGCAGGATGCTGAGCATTAGGAGAAAAGCACACAGGTGTTTTTAAAGGGTATGTTCTAGAATAAGCATTGCTTCGGTGTTTTTTTAGGCTGTATTAAAATTCCAGATAACATGAAGAGAAGGTGGGAGACTTACATTTTTCAAGAAGGGCCACACGTGCAAAGCTTTTCTGGTTCCCGCATGCATCAGAGCTCACTGTTATCCGTGACAGTGAGCTCTGATATCCGTTCCCTGATTCCAACCTGCTCCTTGCTTGACATCTTTTAAGGCGCCGGGTACCGTTCTGTGCTTCTGTAAAACCAACCCGTCAGGGTGAGGGGCCGGTTCCACGGCCTCCTCCCTTCGCTGCCCTAGGTCACAGACCTCCTGGTGGACGAATCCAGTTTTACCGGAGAAGCCGAGCCGTGCAGTAAAACGGACAGCCCGCTGCCAGGCGGGGGCGACCTCACCACGCTGAGCAACATCGTCTTCATGGGGACCCTGGTGCAGTGCGGGCGGGGCCAGGTGAGCCCCGGGGCGCCTGGGACCTGAGCCTCCCGTCACCCACAGCCCCAGCCTTAGGGCTCACCCTCCGCTCTCTCTCCTGAACACAGGGAGTGGTGATTGGAACAGGGGAAAGGTCCCAGTTTGGAGAAGTGTTTAAGATGATGCAGGCTGAAGAGGTAAGGGACAGGTGGGGCTTGGGGCTTTGTGGGTGGGATGGGGGTGAGACTATTCTCGGTGAACGATCCCAGGGCCGCCTGCCCCGCAGGAGTGAGGAGGATGTAGTTAATGGGAGTATACTTTTTAAACTGTATTTTGGTCTAAAATACCTGTTAGCTTTTCCATAAAGATACAACTTTCAGGCAGTACCATGCACAGATCTTAAGTGTGGACGTCAGTGCATTTTGACATACGTGTGCCCTGAGTAATCATCACTCGGCTCAAGTTATAGGGTGGAAAGGCGAATGCGTTTGGAAGAAAGCCAGGCGGAAGCTGGGGCACGCTGCTGGGGGCTCGTCTAACAAGCCACCGCTCTCCCCGTTCCAGACGCCTAAGACCCCGCTGCAGAAGAGCATGGGCGAGCTGGGGAAGCAGCTGACGCTCTTCTCCTTCGGCATCATTGGTGAGTGGAGCATCTCTGCAAGGGGCCGTCCTGGGGCAGCCGCCACGGCGGTTTCTCAAACATCTCGCTGCCCGCTGTTCGGGACCAGAGACTCTCCGGCAGGGACCAGAGACTCTCCGGCAGGGACCAGAGACTCTCGGCAGCAACCAGAGGTCCTGCATCAGTGGCACCAGGCTGGCGGCTGTAACGAGCAGCCCCCACGTTCCACGCCCTGACATAGCAAAAGTCAGACCTGCAGACCTGTTCCTGGTCCAGTGGCTTTCCCATAGTGCTGCTCGGCTACACGTGCTGACGCAGGCCCAGGCTCCTGCTGTATTGTTGCTCTGTCTTCCTCCAGGTCCTTGGAGGCCATAATTCTACTCAGCCAGTGGGTGGGGGGAGAGAGAATATTGAAGCTTGTGGGGGAGCTTTTAAGGCACCGACCAGGAAGTCATGGCATCACTTTTGCCCCCTTTTTATTGGCCAAAATGAAGTCACATGACCTACCTAACTGCAAAGGAGACTGGGAAATGTAGTTTAGCCACACACTCAGCCATATTTCTATGCTTCCATTAAGAAATAGGTCATGCCTGGGCCTGTGCTTTCTGGCCTTTTGGTAGCACACCAAACAATGTCAATGTGATGCTACTAAATAACTAAATTTAGCTCTTAAGCCTTAACGTCCTTCTGGGGTTGCCCTGGTCCCTTCACGTGTTTCTTCCTCTGGTTTCCAACTCTGGCTTTGATTCTGTGCCCTTCATTCCAGTCTTTAGGATGCAGTCTTTAGTGCCTGGGCCACAGTAGATGCTCAGTAAAACATTTGTCAAGTGAGTGATTTGCTAAAGGAAAAAACCAAAAAGCCACTGCCCATAGCACATGCAGCGACGAGGGCAGTACCGGCTGGAACTGCAGAGCCAGAGGAAGTTCTTGAGAGAAACAGCTGTCCCTCCTAGCGGCTGTTTTATGGTACATCTGGCCACCCAGATGCATTAATTCATTTACGGAGTGTCCTGTGGTCCACCAGACCCTGTGCTGGGTTCTGGGGCCACCAAGACGAGCCAAACACAGTTTCTGCCCTTAGCGGGGCCCCAGTCCGATCGGGGAGACACACCTGTATAAATGTGCGATGTGAAGGTGACAGTTAATCTTGCCTGAGTTTCGTCTTCCCAAACCTCAGCTCTGGATGTGCCACCCAGAGTTTGTGAAACCCCTAGGTTAAAGACTTAAATATCTCTCTACCCTCTTCCTTCTTCTCTGCCTTGTGTTGTCTTTGAACAGTGGTGGAAACAGGCTTTATCTTAACCTGAAAGTCGGACAAAACTAGTGGAGCTCTGTGCCATGAGAAGATTTTGTAGCCACGCTCAGGCTCCATCGCAGGAGACTCTGGATTAGTGATGTCTTAGTGATGAATTAGTGGATTAGATGGATTAGTGATGTCTGCCCAGGCACAAGAAGGGGAAGCAGCTATGCACGGCCATCCTCCCTTTGCCCTCCTCGGCTGCAGATTAGACATGTCTGGCAGAATAGACGGCCCAGAGGCCCTGGCTGCAGAGGCCTCTGTCACATTATAGAGCAGTAGTGTGGTTGGGGACTGTGGCTTCTAGGCCAAATTGGCTCTGCTCCCTATTTTTTGTATGGCCAGCAAGCAGAGAATATTTTTTACATTTAACATTTTTTTAAAATATCAGATGAAGAAAAATATCTCATGATGTAAAATTTACATGTAATTCAAATTTCAGTGTTCATTAATAATGTATTATTGGGGCTGGGCGTGGTGGCACGTGCCTGTAGTCCCAGCTGCTCGGGAGGCTGAGGCAGGAGGATCGTTTGAGCCCAGGAGATTGAGGTTGCTGTGAGCTAGGCTGACGCTGCTGCACTCATTCTAGCCTGGGCAACAGAGTGAGACTCTGTCCCAAAAAACCCATAATGTCTCATTGGAACACGGGCCCGCCCATCCACATGCTGTCTGTGGCTGCCCTCCAGGCACAGTGGCGAGGCCGAGTTGCAACAGAGACCGTGTGATCCCTAAAGTCAAAGTTACAGAAAGTTTTCCGACACCCGCCCTAGCCGATGGGACTGAGGGAAGGAGATCGGGCTACCGTAAGGAGCACTTATCATTCTCTCCTGGTAACCCCAAGGACAAATACCAAGGAAATGCGCTTCAAGGCAGATTGTCAAAGTAGATAGCATTCACAGGACTTTCCATAAGATGAAATCTGCTAAAAAAAAAAAGTTCCAAGGCTTGTTGTATAAGCCCGTGACATTGGTGTGTGCGTGGCAGGGCCAGTGACAGCTCTGGGACACTTTTTCTTTTTAACATTTCAAGAACTGCTCTAGCAACGTAAAAGGTTTGAAACTGGGTTCCGAGGATCCCTATAAAAGGTCCACAGGGGAGAGGCAAGGCCACGGTGCCAGGCTGGGAAACGCCTTCCCGGGCACGGTAGTGTCGGCCGATTCCCGTGGTGTAAATGCTCTCGGCACGGCCCCTGGCGAGCTGCCAGCGTAAAGTTGCTGAGCGTGGGTCTAGGAAGAGAGACGCACACAGTTGATGCTGCGAGCCCCTGTGAGCGGCCTGCAGTGTCCTCCAGGAAGGCCACCGGGTGTCCCTAGTGGGTGGGGCTCTGAGCTCACTGCCCCACCCCTGTTTCTTTTTCTTTTCTTTTTTTTTTGAGACAGAGTCTCACTCTGTCATCAGCCTAGCTCACAGCAACCTCAAACTCCTGGGCTCAAGCGATCCTCCTGCCTCAGCCTCCCGAGTAGCTGGGACTACAGGCACACGCCACCATGCCCGGCTAATTTTTTCTATCTATATTTTTAGTTGCCCAATTGATTTTTTTTTTCTATTTTTAGTAGAGACGGGGTCTCGTTCTTGCTCAGGCTGGTCTCGAACTCCTGAGCTCAAAGGATCCACCCACCTCAGCCTCCCAGAGTGCTAGGATTGCAGGCATGAGCCACCGCGCCCGGCTCCCTATTTCTAATAGAACTCTGCCCTCCAACCTATTTTTATTTTATTTTAATTTCAGGATATTAGGAGAGTACAAACATTTTGGTTACATTTTATGTCTTTGCCTCACCCAAGCGAGCATGCCCTTCCCCTCTGCAATGCTCACCGCGTCCATTAGTTGTGAGTTTACCACCCCAGCCCCCTGATCCCTGGAGAATATCATTATCGTGTGAGCACCATAGAGTTGATCAGTCAGTGCCAATTTGATGGCGAGTACATGTGGAGCCCACTCTTCCAATCTTGTGTCATCTCACTTTGGATAATGGGCTAAAGCTCTATCCAGGAAAATACAGGAGGTGGTAGCTGTCATTTCTTATTATTGAGTAGTATTCCATTGTACACATATACCAGATTTTAATAATCCACTCATGAATCGATGGGCGCTTGGGTTGTTTCCACATCCTTGCAATGGTGAATTGTGCTGCCATAGCATTCGGGTGCAGATGTCTTTACCATAGAATGTCTTTTGGGAAGATGCCTAATAGTGCTATTGCTGGATTGAATGGTATTTCTATTTTTAGCTCTCTGAGCTATTTCCAAATTCTTTTCCACAGAGGTTGCACTAATTTGCAGTCCAGCCCTCTACACTGTTTCATCTGGGCTCATTTGGGCAGTCTAGCTAAGATTGCAGCTGAGTTCTGCAGCTAATCAATATGCCCCAAACACAAATAACAGATATTGTAACACTGCTGCTGCCCCCCTCCACCCCACTACTGCCCAGCATGAAGCACCCCTGCCTTCCCGTTTCCTGCAAAAACTGATGTTCTTTCAAGTCCACCCCCCTTCCTGTTGCCTTCTCCCTGCTTCTGATAACCCTGGCAAGGACGGGTAACAACTAGGCCTTTCCTGTGGGCCAGGACCTGTGCTGAGTGTGCAAATGCATCGTCACGGGTAAAGCCCTGGAGCAACGCCTTGAAGGAGGTTTGGTCGTTATGGTCCCATTTTACAGACGAGGAAGCTGAGGCGGCCTCTGGCGGCCCTGGCAGGTTCCCCCATTGCCAGAAGGTCTCATGCCCTTTCCCGGGGCCCAGCTCTTGCCACTCTGCCCCGGGGGTCCTTCTGGGGCAGTTTCCCGAGTCTCTGGCGCCCAGGCCTGCGCTCAGTGGAGATTTGGTAAATTATCAGTGAAAGAAAAAGGGAAAGGGGAGTGTACTGAGTCACGAGCACAGCAGGATAAAATAGTTTGGGAAATAGTGGTCCATCTGCGGACCCCAGGAGCAGCCGTCCCTGGCCTCACCAGACCTGGGCGGGCGGGCGGGTGGGGCAGGAGCCCGGACTCGCACACGGCGTTTGGGGAGACTTTGGAGTCCTGTGCATGTGCTCGCAAACAGCCCCAATAAACCTTGCTTGCTGTTTGTTTAACTTACGCCTGGCTTGAACCTTTCCTGGGAACCTTTCCTTTTCCTGGGAAAGCAAAACTAGGTTTTTTTGTAAGTATAAAAGTATTTTCCTTTTAAAAAAAAAGAGAGTGGTGGAAAGCACCTGAGGTCACTAATCATTCCCGTGCGAGTCCCCGCAAACCCGCCACGGGAGCGAGTTCGAGGCGGCCGGCGGCCACGGGGACGTGTGTTTGGTGTCTTCCAGGTCTGATCATGTTCGTGGGCTGGCTGCAAGGCAAGCAGCTCCTCAGCATGTTCACCATCGGCGTCAGGTAAGGGTCCTTTCGCAACGCGGCTTCCCCGGGTTCCCCAAGACGGGCACACCTGACACTATGTGGGTCATCCTGCGTACCAGAGCCCGCACGCCAAGCCCCGGATCGTATTCCAGAGAAGGAGCTGCAGAGCACACCGAGAGGGAGCGCGCTGCTCGGGGACGGCGCTCTCACTGCCAAACACACGCCGGGGGCCCGGGCCGGCGATCGAGTCACAGCCGAGAGCCTGGGGGCTGGTCACTGCAGCACGGCCGCCGGTGCCCACTTCCAGCTACGCCCACGGTGGCAACCACCTAGACACACTCGAACAGGCCACTCTCCGGGGATCCGGTACCATCGACGCCTTCCTGTACACAACTGAGCCATCTCGTTCGGGTCAGCCCTCCCGTCGCGGCCACGCTGCTTGCAGCGATGAAGAAGGCTCATTGGCCCCTTGTACTTCCCGGTAGAGCTACCCGCGCCCGAGAGAAAGGCCATACGAGCAGCACGTATTGCCCGTGGGTATACCGGCGGGCCCTTCGCTTCCGAGCTGGTGTCCCAGCAGAGGGAAGGCTGGGACCCCTCCAGGACACGGGGAGCCAACACAATGTCTAACGGCTCCCTGTCAACCTGGTGATCCCCGGGGAAAACCCACGTGCCGGCTGTCTGCAGGGTGGTTGTGGGAATATGCAGAAAAATTGTTTCAGCATATGTTAGAAAAAAATTACAATGTTGCCGGGCGCGGTGGCCACGCTGGGTAATCCCGGTCTGGGGGGAGCGCCGAGGTGGGGAGGATCCTATTAAGGCTCAGAGGTGAACACAAGTTACAAGCAACTCCATCTGCTACTAAAATCACGAAGAAATTGCTGAGCACAGTGGTGTGCACCTGTATCCCAGCTAACTCGGGAGGCTGAGGCAA